GAGAGGGTTTCTCCTCTCGGCCGTTGAGAGTGTATACTCTTGACAGCGAGGGGAAACCCTGTTGGAATTTAGCCGTCATCATTCCTTTCCTCTTTTTCTTCTCTGTCACACACATGTCACTCCTTCCTCATCTGTCATTCTTTTCTCTCTCATTTCCAGATGAATATGCTTCTTCACCTTCTGTCCCACAACTCAGCCATAATTTGTATGTAGATAAATAACCATGCTTTCTGAGTTAGAAAATGAGATCATCAGTCTTCTGCGAAACTTTTCCCTGTGGTCTCTAAAAGATACAACCACTTGTAGCGTGAGTGCTTTTCCGCCACGCACACTAGCAGCTCATAGCCCCTTTTTGGGCTCTTCGACCACCAGTTTTTTCTCTTGAGTCTTTAGCCTCAAGATTTGTTCACCGGTCCTTTGTCCCCAGTTCACTCCGCCTCGTCCCTTAATTTCATCAAACCCTCTCGGCTTTGAGAGTGTACATACCCTCAACGGCCGAGAGGGTTTCCCCTCTTGGCCGTTAAGAATGTGGTCTCGCGGCCGGGAGGCATCCTCCCGGCCGCTGCCGTGGGGTGGGGGTTGATTTGGTTTATCGACCCCCAAACCCTGGTCGGTTTGGGAGGATCGACTCCCAAACCAACTGGGGGTTTTTATTTTTTTTTATTAAATTCTTAGGGAGTTGACTCCCAAACCGGTCGACGGTTTTGGGGAATTGACTCCCTAATTTCGGGGGTTTTGGGGTTTGGGAGTCGACTCTCCAATTTTGGAAAGTCGATTAACCAAGCCCCAAAATTAATTAAAAAACCGTGTTTAAACGCAGAAACCGCGTGCGCTGTGCCGCAGCAAAACCGCGTGTAAACGCGGAAAAACCGTGTTTTTTTATTAATGCCCAATGTAAATACATATTTATTTATTTATATTTTAACAACAAGGTATAATTTTTACTTGTATTCAGTTAATGATTATCTGGAGTTAGTAGCACATTTCACGTACTGTGAAAGATGCTCTATGGCTGACAGATATCAACTAGAGGAGTGTGGCAATGCATGTAGGTGAATTTGAATAGCACAGAGACAGAAAAGACAAGAAATCAATGGAACTAAGCAGTAATCAATTGAATGCCATTGTATTTGGTGAATTCAGTGATCTGGACAGTGTAGAGATAAGCACAATGAGTAACTCTATCAATTGTATTCTCATACATACTTCCTCCTTTCAATTCTCAGTGTAATGAAATTTCACTAAGTAAACAATAAAACAATGGTTGTGGGGTTTTTTTTTTGAGTGATTCTTAGGGAATGTATTACTAAAGTGTCAAATTTTTGGTGGAGGACTTCCCGTCGCAATTTAGAATGCTTTTCAGACCTCCCTCAGTCCTAAATTAACAACACAATTAAGATTTCAACCAGCTCACATGAGAGCTGTTTCTGAAAGGCTTGATCAGAAAAAAAATGTTTTTTTTGATGAAAAAAAAATAGATCTAAGGGGGGTAAATTGACTTCTGGGAGGGTCGGAGATTGCGACAGGAAGTCATCCAGTTTCAGGTAAGTATTGGGGAAGATAATGGTAGATTTTATTAAAGTGAGGAACATGGCGTGCAGCTATGATTGCTTTAGAGTGTATTTCATCTTTTTTGGAGTTTATTTTCCCATCCAAAATCAATGTGTTTTTGGTTAAAAATTCAAAACAACTTATCTACTAATGGTGAAGCACCAATTAACATCCTATGCAGGTCTGGGGAATATGTGGTGTGATTAGACATCTAGGGTCATCTGTTGCCAATCCATGAAACAAAGATGCTGGATTGGTGGGACTGGATTTTCCTATGCCTAGACATGCAATTTATAGCCCAGATTGTGCTAGTGCCAGACAAAATCTAGAAATCAATGAAAACTTTTTAGGTCTTTGTTTCTTGAGCAAGCTGTAGGGGGAGAGGTGGATCCTAAGTTCTTGCTGAGACAATGAAGGCACCAAGCATGTCTTCTCGCCATTTTGTTTGTCAAAGGTAATTTCAGATAGCTCATCTGATTTGAGATTTCTTACAAAAAAAAATTGACTGATACCAATCAAAGCCCAGTCATGCCTGTCAGCAGTGCTTAGGTTTCATGAGTCTTTCATTTTCGAACCCATGAGCAGGGAACCAGTGAGGCCGAAGCTGTGATAGGTTGCTGTAGTTGTGACAGGTGGACCTTCGCTTTGTTCTTTCTTTTCTTTTCTTTTTTTTTTCTAGTTGGGGGTGTTGTATTGTAGTGGGAGTAGGTCGGAAGTTGGATCGGCAGCTGTGTCTTGAGAAGGAGGCCGACTCAAAAGAGATTGTCACAATCCCCCCCCCCTCCCCACAAAAAAGCTGACTCAAACACCTCGAAAGCATCGAAAGAACAATCATCATCTTCCAGGCGATAGAGAAATAAAAAAAAAGAATACTCATCTCTTGATGCCTCCCAAACACACTTCAACAGGTACTCGAACCAATCAATCAGTCGCCACCACGATGACAGAGAACGAGAAGATGTTAACCGGTCAGTCCGCCACTCTACTTCTATTCCCTGCTTCTCATCAAAAAAAACAGAGGCTTGTATGCATTCCCAGAGAGAATCAAAAGAGAACAAGGAAAGCGAGAATCGGAGAAATAAAACAAAAAGTGAGTGGTAAACAACAGGAAAGGCCTATCTGGCATCGGATCCACAACTAGTGAAAGCAAGACTTCGAGCCCGAGCACTAATGCAACGATACAACGGCTATCCTTGGCCGACTAACGAGGCCGATAATCCTGACCCCGATTACTTTGGTCCCGACGATCGAAGGGCCCTCTTGGCTGAACTCTTCAACTTGCAACTCGATGATCTCAAACAGAAACCACTCGAAATCGAACCCCCTTTCTATTGCGACTATGTTCGTCCTTTTTTCTTTTGTGGTTAAGAAAGGCTGGCAACCTAATCACTTCTCCTTTCTTTCCCTGTAATAGGGAACAAACATTACTTTCAAGGGTCCAGTGAGTAAATCATCTTCTTGATCAACAGTCAAAATCGTCGAGGATTCGATTTATGATTGAAGGACTAAGAAAAACAAACAAAAACCCGTCCGTTTCACAGTTTTATTGTAACTTTAACCTTCAAGTCTTGGATTGTGCATCGGTGAGTAACCTCTCTTCCCCATACTGATCAAACATTCCAAAACAACAACGAAGCCCCACCGAGTCGGAACTTAAATGCCCCGGTTTGTTTATTTGCCTATGAACAGGTGGTTTTCGGTAGTCGAGTGATTTGCGGACCGAATGTACAAATGTAAAGATTCGATTAATTATCCACCACCAGACCAAATGAGAACCTAACGGTCAAAATCGATTCTCTTTATGTTCGATTGATAAAAAAAAAACATAAAGAAATGCAGCAACACATTCGACGGATGTATGTGAACGACAAAAGGGTCTTGAAAGGGCTTATCCGGTCACGGTTGGCGACGATGTTTGGATTGGAGGCGGGGCGATCTTGATCGGTCCATGTACTATTGGAAATGGTATACATTTGATTTCCCGTTCCCCTTTTTAAAAGATTCACGCATTTTTATCTGCCTTAATACTGCTGATCACCACTAACAAGATCACCATTTGCTCTGTTTTGTTTTTATCAGGCACTACAATAGCTGCTGGAGCGGTGGTCAGTGGAATCAGTCATTTTTTTCAGAGAGACAATTCATTGATCAAGACCAATCTTGTTATCATCAATAGGTTAGGGGAGATGTACCCGCGAACGTAGTGATGGCAGGAGTTCCAGCTCGAATCATCAAACACCTGAATAGCAACACCAACAAATCAGATCACGAGTCTAACAGCGATCTGAAACCAGGCCATCCGAAATCCTCGACCTCCAATGCCAATCAATCTAACCATTCCAAGTCGATTGCCGCTCGATCACCTGGAGGAGGCTCGAAGAATCTCAATCCAACCTCTGTAGCAACTGATGATGATCAAGCCAGCGGACATTCGGAGGAAACTAGCGATCCATTTGCCGAGTGTTTTCTGGCCAACATTCCCAGTGCATTATCCAACGGCGATTTACACAATGCACTGAGTGTATTTGGGGAGGTCCGGAGTCTGACGATGGACCGAAGTCGACGGCTAGGGTTCGTACGTTTCGGGAGTGCACAGGCAGCTGAAGAAGCCGTCGAAGCTGGGCGAGGTCCGGACGGATTAGTGGTGATGATGAATCAGGAGACGAATGAGAAGATGGTAGTAGGCATCGAGCGTCGACGGATGTCAGATACGAACAGGACCTTCAATCCAGACCTGATCACCTCGACCCGATGCTTGATTCGTCGACTGCCCAATACGGTAGACTTTGACGAACTGAAACGGACGATCGAGGAGCACGCGGGGAGCTTGGTCGAATGGACCGTCCAGGACTTCACCTCCCCCGACCCCACCAAACCCTCGGTGGATAAGTTTATCTCCCTCGAATTCGAGCAACTTTGTGGGGCGAGAGAGGCGGTCAGATTGAGTCAGAATATCAATGGGACCCTGGGAGGGATCGATGTCCCTGGCACCGATGGCATCAAAGCTCGGATCGAGGCCCGCAAACAATTCTCACCTCAATCCGCTTATCGAACTAGTTATCGCGGTCATCATCAGCAGCCCTTCCATCATAACTCTGGAGGAGGCTACCATCAAACCTATCCAAACCATCATCAACAACATCATCCCCGGAGCAGTCGAGGTTCTTACGGCGGCTATCATTCTAGAGGCGGTAGTCCTAATCATAATCATCATTACCTTACCAGCACCACCAACCCTGCTCCTGGTACTGGTGGTGGACCAGGTAATTATCAAAATAATAAGGCATTCAATGGCAGCTTTACTAAATATAAACCTAGAAGAAGCGTCCCTGGTGGAATGAATGGGTCTGAATAATTAATAGTTGGTTGAACAGTTGGGAGGTTTTTTTTTTTTTTTTTTTTTTACTTTGTTTGTTGCTGGTTATATATTGTCTGTGGCCCGGTCAAGCTTAATGTGTTTGTTTGTTTTGATCCTGCTCTTGTTTCTCTCCATCTCTTCCCTCCATTTTTTTTTTTTCATCTTCAATGTTCATCTAGTGAAACTTGATCACAAAAAAAAAAAAACCTCCTCCTCCCCTTTCTCCTAAGACTATTTTTTTCTTTTGGGGGCTGATCAACACCTGTTTAATTCTCCAGATCTACTACTATTACTACAACTCGTTTTTTTTTTTTTGGTTCTTGTTTTTCTTTGATGATATGATTATGGTGTTTTTGGTTTATAGATCCATCTGTTTCACGATTGAATGATTGCCAAAAAAAAAAAAAAAACTGAAAGAAAGAAAGAAAGAATGAGGTTTTTGAATGATTTACTTTCCAAGACTTCTCTAGCATCATCTTGTATACATTTACAGGTTTTAGTGCCCCACACTGTAGCAGGGACACCGGCTTTGAGAAGTTAATTGGCTATTGTGTGGAGTGTGAAGAGGTACTGAATTTTGGTCTCCCTCCATCAGACCATCAGGTGACAGGTGTATGTATGTAAGCCCCTCCTGCGGGGGGTCAGGCTCTCTAAAGCTGATTCCGACCCGCTTTGCCAGCCCAGCCCCCAACACACCAACCTCAACTATCCGCGGACCGCCCTCAACCTCATCCTTGGCGACATCGACCCCTCACGACATACAACTCGCACACTGGGAGCAACCGACGGACGGTCAATCTGCTATTTGGTGAGAAGTTCTTGCTGTATAAACTTCACTCTCACTCGCAGTACTCACATCTGATCTTTATACCCTCGTTCATCTTTCTCGCTGTTCTTCTCTAGTCATCTAGTTCTGTTTAGTGACTAAAAATCATACCGGTAAGTGATTTCTTTGAATCTCTCCCTCTCTCTGTCTTTCTTCTTCATTCATTGATAGGGGTTTTTTTTTTTCTTCCGTCTTGCAGGCTCTGTTTTTAGCACCTTACGTCAACAGGCTTTCCTCTCACAAGTCGGTCCACACGCATACTCTGAGGATGGAACCCAAGAGAATCTGGCTATCGTACAACAAGAAGCTCAGTAGCGTCCAAACACAAGAGCTCGAGTTCGTCGATGACCTCGCCGAGGCGGCCAGAAACAAATTCTTGCCTTATCTGCGTCACGTCGCCACGTCGGATATCACCCTGCATGTCGATGAGCGTACAGAGGCGCTGGCTACAGACTCAGTCCTTGCAAAAATCGCGGCACAACTATCCCCTTGCGGCATCTCAAAGACTCCTCTTATAGTGAAAGGTGAGAAGCTCCATTCCATCCGTGTCCAAGCTCTTGTGCCAGCAATGCCAAGTTAAAGCTTTCGCTGTGCTCCCTCCCCCTGCTTGATCGCTAAACATTTTGTGTCCCATTATTTGTAGTAACATTGGACGTTGCCCCGGAGACTCCTCTTATAGCAAAAGGTATTCCTGCCATAATCTGGCTATCCATTCAAGGGAAACCTCGTCAGGGTTGAAACAAAGGGACTCTTGCTTGTTGATCAACTTGTGAAGGCGGCAAGAAACAAATTCCCTTATCTGTGTGACTTCAAGAGCTTGGATGCAGATGGGATGGAGGCTCACCTTTTAACTATAAGAGGAGTCTTCAAGATGCTGTTGGGGGTGAGTTGTGCAGCGATTTCTGCAAGGACTGAGTCTCTAGTCAGTGCCTCTGCATGCTCATTGACAAGCAGGGTGAATGTCGGAGGCGCTGACTAGAGACTCAGCCTTTGCAAAAATTGCTGCACAACTCACCCCCAGCAGTGTTGTGAAGACTCCTCTTATAGTGAAAGGTGAGCCTCCATCAAGCCTCCTTCCCTTCCACGTCCCAGCTCTTGTACCAGCAATCCCAAGTTGAAGCTCTTGCTGAGCTCTTGTCCCTCTTACTGCCTGATTATTCAACATTTTTTCCACTTAGTTCTAGCAAAATGAAACGTTGAAGAGGACCTTGTATGCTTCTGGAAGCCTCTACTAGAGGCCACTTTGGTAAACGTCGGGGGGGGGATGTAATATTTGCAGCTAAAAGAATCTTACATTCTTGGACAACAAACACTAAGTCACTTTTACAAAGTGCAAGTTTTTTGAGGCCAACAATATCACCTATAACAAATTGGTTGTTACCGGTACCCCTGGGATTGGAAAAACTGTTTTCTCTGCCTACTATGCTGCATGCGCAGGAAAAACTGTTGTGTGGGAGCCCCTCATACTTCCAGGAGCTGATCCTGTGACCTATTTGATGACGACATCTAGTGGTGTTGAACTGCTAGATACTAAGAGTTCCACCTTATCCACGCTCTCGCGTAATCCGACACAATATACATTGTGGATGGTCAACCTCTGATCATGAAAGAGGCCTGGACTCTCCTTGTCACCTCTCCACAACACAACCATTACCACCAATTTTGGAAATTAGGGGGTTCAAAGCTATTGCATATGCCGCCTTAGAGTTACAAGGAATTGCAAAATTGCAAAGATTTTCTCTATCCAACTGAACAAATATTGCCCACTAGGCTCATGGACTGGGTTTTCAAATGGTACGGCGGTGTGCCCAGACACGTTCTTGAGTTGGCAACAACTGCATTCAAAGAACATCACGGCGATGAGGACAAGGCGTTGAAAGCTCTGGTCCAGGGAATGAATCAAGCCATTCACAAAGGTCAATTTGTCAATCTTATGAAAGCACATAAGAGTGGAACTCTTGACAGAGATTTTTCACATTGTGTGCTGCACATTTGTAGTCACCCCAGTGGAGAGCTTGGACAATTTCACTTGGCACGGGCACTGCCCCAAGTTGAGCATGAAATGGTGGTCAGATTTGCACAGGAACTTTGAACTGACATTCAAAACTTTCTCCAAACTCCTTCCAATGGTAGCAATTACTGTGGACTGGTATTTGAGATGCACACTCAAAGCTTGTTGCAAGAAGGCGGAAGATTTCAAGTCCGTCAACTTGGTAAAGGAGATCCACAAACTGGCCAGAGCATTACAATCACATTTTCTGAAGCTGGGTGTCAAACCTTCAAAACTTACAAAGAAGTTGACCTACGCACCAATGTGTTCTGGAAGCCGTGCAGTCCAAATCTGGCATCAATTGATTTGTTGCGTGGACCAGCAAATGTTTTTCAAATTACTGTTTCCAACACACATCCAATCAAGCATGAGGGCCTCAACAAAGCCCTGAATCTGGTGGAAAAGTCAGAATCTAGTCAAAGGCTTTAATTCGTGGTCCCATCTGATATTTAATCGACTTACAAACATCAGCCATATCTTACCACAACTGGGAAAATGTTCAAGCAAAACCTTGGTGATGTTGGCAAAGTAGAGCAGTGGGTTTTGATGATTCCAATAGGGCCCGAGAATCTGTCAAGAGGAGATGAGGAACCACCCAAAAAGAAGCGGGCTGTCTGAAGAGATGCACCAAAAAGACTCCTGTGCTAGCCCCCTTGTTCATCATCTGAATAGAATTATAGTCCAGACAACTCCACCATGCTCACAGAAATTGCCACACTGCTTGATTGGACAATTTATACACATCATTAGTCACAATTAGATATGCTTGTACTTACATTATGCTAGATCTACAGTGCACTGAGTAAAAACAACAATGTCACTATAAGAAAGTAATCATGTTATATCACATAAGTTCAAAGATCAATTTCACTTTGATGTTTTGACAATATTCTTGTCTTCAAATATGGTATTCAAAGTTAAATTTCATAAAGTCCTAAGCACATAAATCCTATAATCATAAAACTATTTTGGCTGGGAAAGCCAAAGCTTACATAATCTGATTACCAAGCTCCCCTGCAAACAAGGTTTTAAGATCTTATGATTTATGTGGTTATGATTTTATGAAATTTAACTTTGAATACCATAAAAGCAGTGGACAAACCAAGTTGTCTTGAGCATCTGATTTGTCTTTCCCAGATTAGGCTTGTGTGCTCTTTGTTATTGTCTTATCACTGTATTGGTATGCAAACTGCACTGTAACCAATTGAGATTTTGGTTTGATACATCAAGTCTACAAACCATGTGGGGAGTACTATTTCATTAGAGGGGCAAGAAGAACAAATTCTGCTTTTTACTGTAATCAAGTGAATAAGATATACATACATGGCTCACCTTTAACATTGGGATCAGAAATCCCATTTTACTCTAGCATTCAGCAGCTCAGGGGGTAATTCTTCAACAACCAGCAGTTGTGCCAAGAGCTGAATGTGACTGTCTGCCAGTATTGAGGAAAAGAATCCATATTTCAATCCCACAGCAATGTTCCTAGAAGCTTTTTGTCTTCTCTCTGTGGGGCGGTCTTGAAGAGAGAATAACATCCAACACCTTCTTGGTCCATTGAGC